CGCGTGGTCGAAGCTCACGGCGTTGATCACCATGAAGTTCTTTAGGTTGTACTTGTAAGGAGCGTAGTTGCCGTGCCAAGCCACCACGTCAAACGGAGACCCCTCCTAGCACAACAAGATCAACAACCACAACAACAACCACAACAACAACAACCACAGCAACAAAATCAACAACAACAACCACAACATCAACCATAACAACATCAACAACAACAACCACAACATCAACAACCACAACAACTTGTAAGGAGCGTAGTTGCCGTGCCACGCTACCACGTCAAATGGAGACCCCTCCTAGCCACAACCACAACAACAACCACAACAACAACCACAACAACAACAACCACATCATCAACTACAACAACCACATCAACAACCACAACAACCACAACAACAACAACAACCACAACATCAACAACCACAACAACTTGTAAGGAGCGTAGTTGCCGTGCCACGCTACCACGTCAAATGGAGACCCCTCCTAGCCACAACCACAACAACAACCACAACAACAACCACAACAACAACAACAACCACATCATCAACTACAACAACCACAACAACCACAACAACCACAACAACAACAACCACAACAAGATCAACAACCACAACAACAACCACAACAACAACAACCACAGCAACAAAATCAACAACAACAACCACAACATCAACCATAACAACATCAACAACAACAACAACCACAACAACCACAACCACAACAACCACAACAACATCAACAACAACCACAACAACTACCACAACAACAACCACAACAACAACCACAACATCAACTTGTAGGGAGTGTAGTTGCCGTGCCACGCCACTACGTCAAACGGAGACCCCTCCTAGCCACAACAACAACAACCACAACAACAACAACCACAACAACAACCACAACAACAACCACAACACCCACAACAACAACAACCACAACAACAACCACAACAACAACCACAACACCCACAACAACAACCACAACAACAACCACAACAACCACAACAACCACAACAACAACAACCACAACATCAACCACAACAACCACAACTTGTAGGGAGTGTAGTTGCCACGAGTCAGTGGTGGTGAGTAGTGGTGGTGAGTAGTAGTGGTGAGTAGTAGTGGTGAGTAGTAGTGGTGAGTAGTAGTGGTGAGTAGTAGTGGTGGTGAGTAGTAGTGGTGGTGAGTAGTGGTGGTGAGTAGTGGTGGTGAGTAGTAGTGGTGGTGAGTAGTGGTGAGTATTAGTGGTGGTGAGTAGTGGTGGTGAGTAGTAGTGGTGGTGAGTAGTGGTGGTGAGTAGTAGTGGTGGTGAGTAGTGGTGGTGAGTGTAGTGGTGAGTAGTAGTGGTGAGTAGTAGTGGTGAGTAGTAGTGGTGAGTAGTGGTGAGTAGTGGTGAGTAGTGGTGAGTAGTAGTGGTGAGTAGTAGTAGTGGTGAGTAGTAGTAGTGAGTAGTAGTGGTGAGTAGTAGTGGTGAGTAGTGGTGGTGAGTAGTAGTGGTGAGTAGTGGTGAGTAGTAGTGGTGGTGAGTAGTAGTGGTGAGTAGTGGTGAGTAGTAGTGGTGAGTAGTGGTGAGTACTAGTGGTGGTGAGTAGTGGTGGTGAGTAGTGGTGGTGAGTAGTGGTGAGTAGTAGTGGTGGTGAGTAGTAGTGGTGGTGAGTAGTGGTGGTGAGTAGTAGTGGTGAGTAGTAGTGGTGAGTAGTGGTGGTGAGTAGTAGTGGTGAGTAGTAGTGGTGGTGAGTAGTAGTGGTGAGTAGTAGTGGTGAGTAGTGGTGAGTAGTGGTGAGTACTAGTGGTGGTGAGTAGTGGTGGTGAGTAGTGGTGGTGAGTAGTAGTGGTGGTGAGTAGTGGTGGTGAGTGTAGTGGTGAGTAGTGGTGGTGAGTAGTAGTGGTGGTGAGTAGTGGTGGTGAGTAGTGGTGGTGAGTAGTAGTGGTGAGTAGTAGTGAGTAGTAGTGGTGGTGAGTAGTAGTGGTGAGTAGTGGTGGTGAGTAGTGGTGGTGAGTACTAGTGGTGAGTAGTAGTGGTGAGTAGTAGTGGTGAGTAGTAGTGGTGAGTAGTGGTGGTGAGTAGTGGTGGTGAGTAGTAGTGGTGAGTAGTAGTGGTGGTGAGTAGTGGTGGTGAGTAGTGGTGGTGAGTAGTAGTGGTGGTGAGTAGTAGTGGTGAGTAGTGGTGGTGAGTAGTAGTGGTGGTGAGTAGTGGTGGTGAGTAGTAGTGGTGAGTAGTAGTGGTGAGTACTAGTGGTGAGTAGTAGTGGTGGTGAGTAGTAGTGGTGAGTAGTAGTGGTGGTGAGTAGTGGTGGTGAGTAGTAGTGGTGAGTAGTAGTGGTGAGTAGTGGTGGTGAGTAGTGGTGGTGAGTAGTGGTGGTGAGTAGTGGTGGTGAGTAGTAGTGGTGGTGAGTAGTAGTGGTGAGTAGTGGTGGTGAGTAGTAGTGGTGGTGAGTAGTGGTGGTGAGTAGTAGTGGTGAGTAGTAGTGGTGAGTACTAGTGGTGAGTAGTAGTGGTGGTGAGTAGTAGTGGTGAGTAGTAGTGGTGGTGAGTAGTGGTGGTGAGTAGTAGTGGTGAGTAGTAGTGGTGAGTAGTGGTGGTGAGTAGTGGTGGTGAGTAGTGGTGGTGAGTAGTGGTGGTGAGTAGTAGTGGTGGTGAGTAGTAGTGGTGAGTGTAGTGGTGGTGAGTAGTAGTGGTGAGTAGTAGTGGTGGTGAGTAGTAGTGGTGATTAGTAGTGGTGGTGAGTAGTAGTGGTGAGTAGTAGTAGTGGTGATTAGTAGTGGTGAGTAGTAGTGGTGGTGAGTAGTGGTGAGTAGTAGTGGTGAGTAGTGGTGGTGAGTAGTAGTGGTGAGTAGTGGTGGTGAGTAGTAGTGGTGAGTAGTAGTGGTGATTAGTAGTGGTGAGTAGTAGTGGTGAGTAGTAGTGGTGAGTACTAGTGATGAGTACTAGTGGTGAGTAGTAGTGGTGGTGAGTACTAGTGGTGAGTACTAGTGGTGAGTACTAGTGGTGAGTACTAGTGGTGAGTACTAGTGGTGGTGAGTACTAGTTCTGAGTACTAGTGGTGAGTAGTACTAGTGGTGAGTAGTACTAGTGGTGAGTAGTAGTGGTGAGTACTAGTGTTGAGTAGTACTAGTGGTGAGTACTAGTGGTGAGTACTAGTGGTGAGTACTAGTGGTGGTGAGTACTAGTGGTGAGTACTAGTGGTGAGTGTAGTGGTGAGTACTAGTGGTGAGTAGTAGTGGTGGTGAGTACTAGTGGTGAGTACTAGTGGTGAGTACTAGTGGTGAGTACTAGTGGTGAGTAGTACTAGTTCTGAGTACTAGTGGTGAGTACTAGTGGTGGTGAGTACTAGTGGTGAGTACTAGTGGTGAGTAGTACTAGTGGTGAGTACTAGTTCTGAGTACTAGTGGTGAGTACTAGTGGTGAGTACTAGTGGTGAGTACTAGTGGTGAGTAGTAGCGGTGCTCACCACCACGGCTCACCTGCTGTGCTGTGAACAATTTCCCCTGAAACTTGTTTACGATCTGCACTGTTGACTCCTCTTGCTCCTCCTCCTCCCGCTGCTGCTGCTGGTGGTGATGATGATGATGATGCAGGTGATGGTGGTGATGATGATGATGATGCAGGTGATGGTCGTAGTGTGCCACCGGGTAGAGGAAGTCACGAGGGTTGGCGAGGCCATTCGCCCCTGTGCACAGCACGTCGGGGGTGGAGGTGAAGCTGCCCCAGGCAGCCTCGGGCATGGCGGGGCAAGTGGAGATTGGTGGCAGTGATCACTCACTCACTCAGTCAGCCATTCACTCACTCAGTCAGTCAGTCACTCACTCAGCCACTCACTCACTCAGTCACTCACTCACTCAGTCAATCAGTTACTCACTCACTTAGTCAGCCACTCATTCACTCACTCACTCAGTCACTCACTCAGTCACTCAGTCAGCCACTCACTCACTCAGTCACTCACTCACTCAGTCAGCCATTCACTCACTCACTCAGCCACTCACTCACTCAGCCAATCAGCCATTCACACACTCACTCAGTCAGTTACTCACTCAGTCAGTCACTCACTCAGTCACTCACTCAGCCACTCACTCAGTCAGTTACTCACTCACTCACTCAGTCACTCACTCACTCACTCAGTCACTCACTCACTCAGTCAGTCACTCACTCACTCAGTCACTCACTCACTCAGTCAGCCACTTAGTCACTCACTCAGTCACTCAGTCACTCACTCAGCCACTCACTCAGTCACTCAGTCACTCACTCAGTCAGTCACTCACTCACTCAGTCACTCACTCACTCACTCAGTCACTCACTCAGCCACTCACTCACTCACTCAGTCACTCACTCACTCAGTCACTCACTCACTCACTCAGCCACTCACTCACTCACTCAGCCACTCACTCACTCAGTCACTCACTCAGCCACTCAGTCACTCACTCAGCCACTCACTCAGTCACTCACTCAGCCACTCACTCAGCCACTCACTCACTCACTCAGCCACTCACTCACGCAGCCACTCACTCACTCAGCCACTCAGTCACTCACTCAGCCACTCACTCACGCAGCCACTCACTCACTCAGCCACTCAGTCACTCAGCCACTCACTCACTCACTCAGCCACTCACTCAGCGACTCACTCACTCACTCAGCCACTCACTCAGCCACTCACTCACTCAGCCACTCACTCAGCCACTCACTCACTCAGCCACTCACTCAGCCACTCACTCACTCACGCAGCCACTCACTCACTCAGCCACTCACTCACTCAGCCACTCACTCACTCAGCCACTCACTCACTCAGCCACTCACTCACTCACTCAGCCACTCACTCAGCCACTCACTCACTCACTCAGCCACTCACTCACTCACTCAGCCACTCACTCAGCCACTCACTCACTCAGCCACTCACTCAGCCACTCACTCACTCAGCCACTCACTCAGCCACTCACTCACTCACGCAGCCACTCACTCACTCAGCCACTCACTCACTCAGCCACTCACTCACTCAGCCACTCACTCACTCAGCCACTCACTCACTCAGCCACTCACTCAGCCACTCACTCACTCACTCAGCCACTCACTCACTCACTCAGCCACTCACTCAGCCACTCACTCACTCACTCAGCCACTCACCCACTCACTCACTCACCCCCCGTGTCTCTGTGTCTCCCCCTCGTTTCTCCCCCCCGTGTCTCCCCCGTGTCTCCCTGTGTCTCTGTGTCTCCCCCGTGTCTCACCCCGTGTCTCACCGCTGGTGTCTCTGTGTCTCTGTGTCTCTCCCCGTGTCTCCCCCCGTGTCTCCCCCGTGTCTCCCTGTGTCTCTGTGTCTCCCCCCGTGTCTCACCCCGTGTCTCACCGCTGGTGTCTCTGTGTCTCTGTGTCTCTCCCCGTGTCTCCCCCCGTGTCTCCCCCGTGTCTCCCTGTGTCTCTGTGTCTCCCCCGTGTCTCACCCCGTGTCTCACCGCTGGGGTCTCCGTGTCTCTGTGTCTCTCCCCGTGTCTCCCCCCGTGTCTCCCCCGTGTCTCCCTGTGTCTCTGTGTCTCCCCCGTGTCTCACCCCGTGTCTCACCGCTGGTGTCTCTGTGTCTCTGTGTCTCTCCCCGTGTCTCCCCCCGTGTCTCCCCCGTGTCTCCCTGTGTCTCTGTGTCTCCCCCGTGTCTCACCCCGTGTCTCACCGCTGGTGTCTCCGTGTCTCTGTGTCTCTCCCCGTGTCTCCCCCCGTGTCTCCCCCGTGTCTCCCTGTGTCTCTGTGTCTCCCCCGTGTCTCACCCCGTGTCTCACCGCTGGTGTCTCTGTGTCTCTGTGTCTCTCCCCGTGTCTCCCCCCGTGTCTCCCCCGTGTCTCCCTGTGTCTCTGTGTCTCCCCCGTGTCTCACCCCGTGTCTCACCGCTGGTGTCTCCGTGTCTCTGTGTCTCTCCCCGTGTCTCCCCCCCGTGTCTCCCCTTGTCTCTGTGTCTCCCCGTGTCTCATTGTGTCTCCCCGTGTCTCTCCCCCCGTGTCTCCCCGTGTCTCCCCCCGTGTCTCCCCCGTGACTCACCGCTGGTGTCTCCGTGTCTCCCCCCGTGTCTCTCCCCCGTGTCTCTCCCCGTGTCTCCCCCCGTGTCTCCCCCGTGTCTCACCGCTGGTGTCTCTGTGTCTCACCCCGTGTCTCTCCCGTGTCTCCCCCGTGTCTCCCCCGTGTCTCACCCCGTGTCTCACCGCTGGTGTCTCCGTGTCTCTGTGTCTCTCCCCGTGTCTCCCCCTGTGTCTCCACCGTGTCTCCCCCGTGTCTCCCTGTGTCTCTGTGTCTCCCCCGTGTCTCACCCCGTGTCTCACCGCTGGTGTCTCCGTGTCTCTGTGTCTCTCCCCGTGTCTCCCCCCGTGTCTCCCCCGTGTCTCACCCCGTGTCTCACCGCTGGTGTCTCTGTGTCTCACCCCGTGTCTCCCCCGTCTCTCCCCGTGTCTCACCGCTGGTGTCTCTGTGTCTCCCCCGTCTCTCCCCGTGTCTCACCGCTGGTGTCTCTGTGTCTCTGTGTCTCTCCCCGTGTCTCACCGCTGGTGTCTCTGTGTCTCTGTGTCTCTCCCCGTGTCTCTGTGTCTCACCCCGTGTCTCCCCGTGTCTCACCGCTGGTGTCTCTGTGTCTCACCGTGTCTCCCTGTGTTTCTGTGTCTTCCCCCGTGTCTCTGTGTCTCCCCCGTGTCTCTCCCGTGTCTCTCCCGTGTCTCTCTGTGTCTCACCGCTGGTGTCTCCGTGTCTCTGTGTCTCTCCCCGTGTCTCCCCCTGTGTCTCCACCGTGTCTCCCCCTGTGTCTCCACCCGTGTCTCCGCGTGTCTCTCCCCCGTGTCTCTCCCCCCGTGTCTCTCCCCCCGTGTCTCCCCCGTGTCTCTCCCGTGTCTCTCCCCCGTGTCTCTCCCGTGTCTCTCCCCCGTGTCTCCCCCGTGTCTCCCCCGTGTCTCTCCCCCGTGTCTCTCCCCCGTGTCTCCCCCGTGTCTCTCCTGTGTCTCTCCCCCGTGTCTCTCCCCCGTGTCTCTCCCCCGTGTCTCCCCCGTGTCTCTCCCCCGTGTCTCTCCCCCCGTGTCTCCCCCGTGTCTCTCCCGTGTCTCTCCCCCGTGTCTCTGTGTCTCACCCCGTGTCTCTGTGTCTCTCCCTGTGTCTCCCCCGTGTCTCTGTGTCTCTGTGTCTCTGTGTCTCACCCCCGTGTCTCTGTGTCTTACCTATGGGGCCAAGTTCTGGCAGCTGGAAGTGAACCCCCATCACCTCCAGCAGGTAGCCCCGTGTCTCACCGCTGGTGTCTCTGTGTCTCTGTGTCTCTCCCCGTGTCTCACCGCTGGTGTCTCTGTGTCTCTGTGTCTCCCCCGTGTCTCACCGCTGGTGTCTCTGTGTCTCCCCCGTGTCTCTGTGTCTCACCTATGGGGCCAAGTTCTGGTAGCTGAAAGTGAACCCCCATCACCTCCAGCAGGTAGCCCCGTGTCTCACCGCTGGTGTCTCTGTGTCTCTGTGTCTCTCCCCGTGTCTCACCGCTGGTGTCTCTGTGTCTCTGTGTCTCTGTGTCTCACCTATGGGGCCAAGTTCTGGCAGCTGAAAGTGAACCCCCATCACCTCCAGCAGGTAGCCCCGTGTCTCACCGCTGGTGTCTCTGTGTCTCTGTGTCTCTCCCCGTGTCTCACCGCTGGTGTCTCTGTGTCTCTGTCACTCTGTGTCTCCTGCTTACCTATAGGGCCGAGTTCTGGCAGCTGAAAGTGAACCCCCATCACCTCCAGCAGGTAGCCCCGTGTCTCACCGCTGACGCTCACGGAGAACTTTATCCCTTGCTGCGTATCGAGACACGCGGAGACACACAGAGACACACAGAGACACGGAGACACACGCAGAGACACACAGAGACACACAGAGACACACAGAGACACAGACAGAGACACAGAGACACACACAGAGACACACAGAGACACACACAGAGACACACAGAGACACAGAGACACACAGAGACACACACAGAGACACACAGAGACACGGAGACACACACAGAGACACAGAGAGACACACAGAGACACACACAGAGACACACACACAGAGAGACACGCAGAGACACACACAGAGACACAGAGAGACACACAGAGACACACACAGAGAGACACACACAGAGAGACACGCGGAGACACAGACAGAGACACACACACAGACAGACACACAGACACAGAGACACACACAGAGAGACACACACAGAGACACGGAGACACAGACAGAAAGACACACAGATACACACAAAGACACAGACAGAGACACAGAGACACACACAGAGACACACACAGAGACACACACAGAGACACACACACAGAGACACGGAGACACACACAGAGACACATACAGAGACACGGAGACACAGACAGAGACACACACACACAGACACACACATAGACACAGAGACACACACAGAGACACAGAGACACACACAGAGACACACACAGAGACACACACAGAGACACGGAGACACAGAGACACACACAGAGACACACACACACACAGACACACACAGAGACACACACACAGAGACACGGAGACACACACAGAGAGACACGGAGACACACAGAGACACGGAGACACACACAGAGACACAGAGACACACACAGAGACACACACAGAGACACACACAGAGACACGGAGACACACACAGAGACACACACAGAGACACACACAGAGTGTGAGTCTGAGCGATATGGCTATGGGTTAGTGTTGGTGGTGAGTGTTGGTGGTGAGTGGTGAGTGATGGTGGTGAGTGATGGTGGTGAGTGATGGTGGTGAGTGGTGAGTGATGGTGGTGAGTGATGGTGGAGAGTGGTGAGTGATGGTGGTGAGTGATGGTGGTGAGTGATGGTGGTGAGTGATGAGTGGTGGTGGTGAGTGATGGTGGTGAGTGATGGTGGTGAGTGATGAGTGGTGGTGATGAGTGATGGTGGTGAGTGATGGTGGCGAGTGATGAGTGATGGTGGTGAGTGATGGTGGTGAGTGGTGAGTGATGGTGGTGAGTGATGGTGGTGAGTGGTGAGTGATGGTGGTGAGTGATGGTGGTGAGTGGTGAGTGATGGTGGTGAGTGGTGAGTGATGGTGGTGAGTGATGAGTGATGGTGGTGAGTGATGGTGGTGAGTGATAGTGGTGAGCGTGGTGAGTGTGGTGAGCGTGGTGAGTGATGGTGAGTGATGTAATGGTGAGTGTAGTGAGTGTAGTGGTGAGTGTAGTAGTGAGTGATGGTGAGTGTAGTAGTGAGCGTGGTGAGTGTGGTGAGCGTGGTGAGTGATGGTGAGTGATGTAATGGTGATAGTAGTGAGTGTAGTGGTGAGTGTAGTAGTGAGTGATGGTGAGTGTAGTGGTGAGTGTAGTGGTGAGTGATGGTGAGTGATGTAATGGTGAGTGTAGTGAGTGTAGTGGTGAGTGTAGTAGTGAGTGATGGTGAGTGTAGTGGTGAGCGTGGTGAGTGTGGTGAGTGATGGTGAGTGATGTAATGGTGAGTGTAGTGAGTGTAGTGGTGAGTGTAGTGGTGAGTAGTGGTGAGTGTAGTGGTGAGCGTGGTGAGTGTGGTGAGTGATGGTGAGTGATGTAATGGTGAGTGTAGTGAGTGTACTGGTAAGTGTAGTAGTGAGTGATGGTGAGTGTAGTGGTGAGCGTGGTGAGTGTGGTGAGTGATGGTGAGTGATGTAATGGTGAGTGTAGTGAGTGTAGTGGTGAGTGTAGTGGTGAGTAGTGGTGAGTGTAGTGGTGAGCGTGGTGAGTGTAGTGGTGAGTGTAGTGGTGAGTGTAGTGGTGAGTAGTGGTGAGTGTAGTGGTGAGTGTAGTGGTGAGTGTAGTGGTGAGTGTAGTGGTGAGCGTGGTGAGTGTGGTGAGTGATGGTGAGTGATGTAATGGTGAGTGTAGTGAGTGTAGTGGTGAGTGTAGTGGTGAGTAGTGGTGAGTGTAGTGGTGAGCGTGGTGAGTGTGGTGAGTGATGGTGAGTGATGTAATGGTGAGTGTAGTGAGTGTACTGGTAAGTGTAGTAGTGAGTGATGGTGAGTGTAGTGGTGAGCGTGGTGAGTGTGGTGAGTGATGGTGAGTGATGTAATGGTGAGTGTAGTGAGTGTAGTGGTGAGTGTAGTGGTGAGTAGTGGTGAGTGTAGTGGTGAGCGTGGTGAGTGTAGTGGTGAGTGTAGTGGTGAGTGTAGTGGTGAGTAGTGGTGAGTGTAGTGGTGAGTGTAGTGGTGAGTGTAGTGGTGAGTGTAGTGGTGAGCGTGGTGAGTGTGGTGAGTGATGGTGAGTGATGTAATGGTGAGTGTAGTGAGTGTAGTGGTGAGTGTAGTGGTGAGTAGTGGTGAGTGTAGTGGTGAGCGTGGTGAGTGTGGTGAGTGATGGTGAGTGATGTAATAGTGAGTGTAGTGAGTGTAGTGGTGAGTGTAGTAGTGAGTGATGGTGAGTGTAGTGGTGAGCGTGGTGAGTGTGGTGAGTGATGGTGAGTGATGTAATGGTGAGTGTAGTGAGCGTAGTGGTGAGTGTAGTGGTGAGTGTAGTGGTGAGTTTACCGGTATGACACAAATCTCGAGTGGATCCACGTGGATTTTTCCCAACTCGGTGGTGATGAGGAGAGAGCCCTCCTGGGGAACTTCACAACAACAACAACAATAACCACAACTAACACAACAACCACAACAACAACCACAACCACAACAACCACAACAACCACAACAACAACAACCACAACAACAACACCTACAACAACCACAACAACAACCACTACAACAACCACAACAACCACTACAACAACCACAACAACTACAACAACAACCACAACAACTACAACAACAACAACTACAACAACAACCACAACAACAACCACCACCACAACAACCACAACAACAACCACAATAACCACAACAACAACAACTACAACCACAACAACAACAACAACCACAACAACAACCACCACAACAACAACCACAACAACTACAACAACCACAACAACAACCACCACAACAACAACCACAACAACAACCACAATAACCACAACAACAACTACAACCACAACCACAACAACAACCACAACAACAACCACAACAACCACAACAACAACTACAACAACCACAACAACAACCACAACTACAACAACTACAACCACAACTACAACAACCACAACAACCACTACAACAACAACTAACACAACAACCACAACAACAACCACAACAACAACAACCACAACAACAACCACAACAACCACAACTACAACCACAACAACCACAACAACAACCACCACAACAACAACCACAACAACAACCACCACAACAACAACCACAACTACAACAACAACTACAACAACCACTACAACAACAACTAACACAACAACTAACACAACAACCACTACAACAGCAATCACAACAACAACAACTACCACAACAACAACAACTTCAACAACTACCACAACAACCACAACTGCCTACCACAAAAACCACAACTACCACAACAAATAACATAACAACCATAACTACCACAACTACCAACCATAACTACATTAATTATAGTTGTTGTGGTGGTTGTGGTCATAGTTGTTGTTGTGGCTGTGGTTATAGTCGTTGTGATTATAATTGTGGTGGTTGTGGTTATAGTTGTTGTGGTTGTAGTTGTTGTGGTTATAGTTGTTGTGGCTGTGGTTATATTTGTAGTTTTGGTGGTTATTGTAGTGGTGGTTGTGGTTGTAGCAATGGTAGTAGTAGTTGTTGTAGTTGTGGTGGTTGTGGTTGTAGCAATGGTAGTAGTAGTTGTTGTAGTTGTGGTGGTAGTAGTGGTAGTAGTAGTGTAATAGTAGTAGTAATAGTAGTGGTGGTAGTAGTAGTGGTAGTAGTGGTGGTAGTAGTAGTGGTAGTGGTGGTAGTAGTTGTGGTGGTGGTGGTAGTAATAGTGGTTGTAGTAGTGGTGGTAGTAGTGGTAGTAGTGGTGGTAGTAGTAGTAGTAGTGGTGGTGGTGGTGGTAGTAGTGGTTGTAGTAGTGGTAGTAGTGGTGGTAGTAGCAATAGTAGTGGTAGTAGTAGTGGTGGTGGTTGTGGTGGTTGTAGTTGTGGTGAGTGTAGTGGTGAGTAGTGGTTGTAGTAGTAGTGGTGGTAGTAGTGGTTGTAGTAGTGGTTGTGGTGGTTGTGGTGGTTGTAGTAGTGGTAGTAGTAGTGGTTGTGGTGGTTGTGGTTGTGGTGGTTGTAGTTGTGGTGGTTGTAGTAGTGGTAGTGGTTGTGGTGGTTGTAGTAGTGGTGGTAGTAGTAGTGGTTGTGCTGGTTGTGGAGGTTGTGGTAGTAGTAGTGGTTGTGGGGGTTGTGGTAGTGGTTGTGGTGGTTGTAGTAGTGGTAGTGGTGGTTGTGGTGGTTGTAGTAGTGGTAGTAGTAGGGGTTGTGGTGGTTGTAGTAGTGGTGGTAGTAGTAGTGGTTGTGGTGGTTGTAGTAGTGGTAGTGGTGGTTGTGGTGGTTGTAGTAGTGGTAGTAGTAGTAGTGGTAGTAGTAGGGGTTGTGGTGGTTGTAGTAGTGGTGGTAGTAGTGGTTGTGGTGGTTGTAGTAGTGGTAGTAGTAGTAGTGGTAGTAGTAGGGGTTGTGGTGGTTGTAGTAGTGGTGGTAGTAGTGGTTGTGGTGGTTTTAGTAGTGGTAGTAGTAGTAGTGGTAGTAGTAGGGGTTGTGATGGTTGTAGTAGTGGTGGTAGTAGTAGTGGTAGTAGTAGGGGTTGTGGTGGTTGTGGTGGTTGTGGTGGTTGTAGTAGTGGTGGTTGTAGTAGTGGTAGTGGTTGTGGTGGTTGTGGTGGTTGTAGTAGTGGTAGTGGTTGTGGTGGTTGTAGTAGTGGTGGTGGTTGTTGTTCTCACCAAATAGTAAATCTCCATCGGAGTTGTAGAAACACCTACATACCACCACCACCATCAACAACAACATCATCACCATCAACAACATCATCATCACCATCATCACCATCATCATCATTTTTGCGTGTGTATGTGTGTGTATGTCTGTCTGTGTGTGTGTCTGTGTCTGTGTGTCTGTGTCTGTGTGTGTGTCTGTGTGTGAGTGTGTGTGTCTTTGTTTGTGTGTCTGTGTCTGTGTGTGAGTGTGTGTACTGTGTGTGTGTCACTGTGGGGAGCGGTAGTGTAGTGGTTAGCGCTACGCTGCGCTATGAACCTGGTGACCCGGGTTCGATTCCCGCTCACGGCCAACACCAGTGACGATTATCTGAACCGGTCCCGGGCCTCCCCTAGGTCGACTCAGCCTCAAATGAGTACCTGGTGTAGCGGTGTGTAAACATTGCCACTGGGGAGACAAAGGCGGTCGGGCGTGGTGCTGGCCACCCACCCCCTCGTGTACCGTTCCGGCCTTCATAGGTGCTCGCTAACAGCACTTGCCCCTACAGTCTGTTAAGGCTATACGGGGGATCTTTGTCTGTGTGTGACTGTGTGTGTGTGTCTGTGTGTGTGTGTGTGTGTGTCTGTGTGTGTGTGTGTGTCTGTGTGTGTGTGTGTGTCTGTGTGTGTGTGTGTCTTTGTGTGAGTATCTGTGTGTGTGTCTGTGTGTGTCTGTGTGTGACTGTGTGTGTGACTGTGTGTGTGTGACTGTGTGTGTGTGACTGTGTGTGTGTGACTGTGTGTGTGTGACTGTGTGTGTGTGACTGTGTGTGTGTGACTGTGTGTGTGTGTCTGTGTGTGTGTGTGTGACTGTGTGTGTCTGTGTGTGACTGACTGTGTGTGTGTGACTGTGTGTGTGTGACTGTGTGTGTCTGTGTGTGTCTGTGTGTGTCTGTGTGTGACTGTGTGTCTGTGTGTGACTGTGTGTCTGTGTGTGACTGTGTGTCTGTGACTGTGTGTGTGTGACTGTGTGTGTGTGACTGTGTGTGTGTGACTGTGTGTGTGTGTGACTGTGTGTGTGTGTGACTGTGACTGTGTGTGTGACTGTGTGTGTGTGACTGTGACTATGTGTGTGTCTATGTGTGTGTGTGACTGTATGTGTGTGTGTGAGACTGTGTGTGACTGTGTGTGTTTGTGACTGTGTGTGTCTGTGTGTGTCTGTGTGTGTGACTGTCTGACTGTGTGACTGTGTGTGTTTGTGTATCTGTGTGTGTGTGTGAGACTGTGTGTCTGTGACTGTGTGTGACTGTGTGTGTCTGTGTGTGACCCTGTGTGTGTGTGACTGTGTGTGTGTGTGACTGTGTGTGTCTGTGTGTGACCGTGTGTGTGTGTGACTGTGTGTGTGTCACCCACTTGTTGTGCATGGAAGTGTTGCAGGTGAAGATGTGGACAGCACACCCCTGGCGTGTGAGAACATCGCCAGCACCACACAGAGTAGACAGGCCCTGGGACATACACACACACACAGTGTTATATATAGTGTCACATACACAGTGTTATATATAGTGTCACATACACAGTGTTATATATAGTGTCACATACACAGTGTCACAGTGTCACACACACACAGTGTCACACATAGTGTCACACACACACAGTGTCACACACACACACACAGTGTCACATACACACACACAGTGTCACACACACACAGTGTCACATACACACACACAGTGTCACACACACAGTGTTACATACACATACACAGTGTTATATACACAGTGTTATATACACAGTGTTATATACACATACACAGTGTTATATACACATACACAGTGTTATATACACAGTGGTATATACACACACACAGTGTTATATACACACACACAGTGTCACATACACAGTGTTACATACACATACACAGTGTTATATACACAGTGTTATATACACAGTGTTATATACACATACACAGTGTTATATACACATACACAGTGTTATATACACATACAGTGTTATATACACACACACAGTGTTATATACACAGTGTTATATACACATACACAGTGTTATATACACACACACAATGTTATATACACATACACAGTGTTATATACACACACAGTGTCACATACACAGTGTTATATACACACACACAGTGTTATATACACATACACAGTGTTATATACACATACAGTGTCACACACACAGTGTTATATAGTGTCACACACATACACAGTGTTATATACACACACACAGTGTTATACACACATACACAGTGTCACACACACACAGTGTCACATACACAGTGTCATATACACAGTGTCACATACACAGTGTTATATACACACACACAGTGTCACACACACAGTCACACACACACAGTGTCACACATAGTGTCACATACACACACAGTGTCACAACAACAACCGCCATTCGCCACTAAGTGGCGGTGACGTCACCACGACGCTTGTGCCAGGCTATGTGCACCCTGAGGCCACGTGAAGTGTCGAACGCCCGCTGGCAGGAGGTCACGGGGCAGACCCAGGTGCCACGGGTCGACTGACTGAGATGACTGAGATGACTGGCTGATGCACCACCTGTGCCCCCTACTGTGCCAACCTGCTGTGCTTTAGCCACCCGGCGCTCCGCTCGTTGTTGTGAGCGTCGCTCCTCCGCCCTCCGTTGTTGTTGGAGGGCGACTGCCTCCAACTGCCCAGTAGCGTCCTTCACGAGCCTCCTCCACAGAGGCCGATCTTGACACCGCTGGTACCAGTCATCGGAAAGTCCACTCAGCCCCACGTCCTCCTGTACCACATCACTCCATCTCTTCTCTAGCCCGTGCCGCGCCCGCTTAGCCCCCTCAATCCGGCCGAACAAAAGCTGTTTCGGCATGCGGTGGCTGGGCATGCGGGCTACATGACCCAGCCATCGCAGCCTTGCCCGCCGGAGGAGCTCACCAATGGGACCTTGCCTCGAACCTCCGAGCGAAGGCTGCGGTAAGCCTCCTCATTCTCTGACGTGGGATGCTGTAGCCGATGAGAGTGGGCCTGTTGCTTTTTCTCAACCATTCTGAACACCTCCTCTGTCAGCCAGGGTTTCTGGGGAGGTCTGGACCACGTACCCAAAGCAGTCAATGCAGCTGCATGAGTCACAGTCCTAAACCTCGCCCATTTACCCTCGACATCAGGAGGAGTCGGGGACGATGCCAACCCCAGCCGCAAGCGATGATGAAATTCTCGCTTGCAACTTTCATCAGATAACTGAGACCAGGCCACTTTATGTTGGAATGGGGTTCTGGGTGTACACCCACCACCGGAGTGGAAGAATGGCAGGCGCATCTTACAGATGACTAGTCGATGGTCAGAGGGCAGATCAGCTCCACGGTAGGTCCTGGTGTCAAGGACATGGGCTCGCATTCGCTGGTCCGTCACTATGTAGTCCAGCAGATGTTCTTGCTTGGACCCGGCATGCATCCATGATGTTGTGTGGATGCGCCGATGCCGGAACAGCGTGTTGGTAATTACAAGCCCATGGGCTGCACAAAAATCTAGCAGCCTCCTACCGTTGTTATTGAGCTGATCTGGCCCATGCCCTCCAATCACTCCAGACCAGGTGCCAGTATCATGACCAACTCGGGCATTGAAGTCACCCAACATGATGACTCTATCCCGAGGGGCCACTTTAGCCAGCACCTGTGACAGGAGGTCATAGAAGGCATCTGACTCATCGGCTTTGCCTGCATCCCTCCATGGATGTTCGTCTTCAGTGGGGGCATAAGTAACCACGACCACCATTCCTCGCCTCCTGTTGATGGGAAGGCGAGCCCAAAGTAGCCTGGGGCTTACAGCTTCCCACACCTCACCGCCACGCTCCCACGCCCCCTTCATTCTTTTGTTCAGAAGAAGAGCCACACCCTGTTGTTTGGCAGTCTGCTGCCCCGAGTAGAGGACTGTCCACCCCTCATGGTGGCAGGAACCAGAGCCGGTCCACTGGACCTCCTGAATGCCACAGAAATCCAGGCGGTACCGGTCCAGCTCTCGAGAGAGGAGTGGCATCCTCTCCTCCGCAGTGAGCGTTCGAACATTCCACATGGCCACACGAAGTGGCTTTTCGTTGTTTCTGGAGGAGCCCCGAGGGTGGAGATTCAATCTCCTGGCTCCGCCAATTGGGGTTTGGCCAGGAGACGTCATAGACGCCTGGCCCCCCGGGGCCCTCCGGCACAAGCTTATTAGTTACACATTTTAGAGGTCGTTTAGTGGTAAGTTATTGAAGGTGGAGGAGTTACCAGCCCCTCGCACCCGTCCAGAGCCCCCGTTTAGCCCCTGTGGTGGACACAGACGCCATGAGGGGAGGAACCAATCGGAATTGGCCCTCCCCCCACAGCATTGTCCACGACAGAGTTGCCCGTCTGGCACCGAGAGGCGGTAGGGGGTTGTTTTGCCACACAGACACACACACACCATCACACACACAGCGACACACAGTGATACACACAGACACACAGACAGACACATATATAGAGACACACAGACACACAGATAGAGACACACTAAGACATACAAACAGGCGCCGAGATACATCACTCACCTCCCTCCATCCACCACCACCATTACCACCACCACCAACACCAACACCATCATGATCATCACCATCACCAACATCACCACCACCATCACCACCATCACCACCACCACCACCATCACCACCATCACCACCATTACCACC